GCTAAATATGACTAAACAAGGGTATTACAACCAACCAAAAGGACTGTGGCTACCTTTTTTGCAATGTTCAATAAAAGGAAATATTGCCATTTTTCAACTTATCTCTGACTATTAGGGTGAGATGTATGGAGTGAAAATATGGCAAACCAAACCATACAGATATTTCTGATCTTCTCTGTGACTCTGGGAGCAGCCCCGCTACCAGAATCCAGATCCATCATTTGACGTCACTGGCTATTTCAGCTTGGGTTTCCAGACACTCATAGCTAAGAATATTAAGCTACAGAAAATGAAAAATGGTCTCCTAAATTGAGACAGCAGAGAATGTCACAGATGAGAAAATGTTTTTCAGTGCTTTGGCTGACTCTGATAATAAGCGGAGCTAAAGTATCCATCTGATACAATGCATCTTGGTTCATGTAGGCACTGCTTTTATGGCTCTGCAGTAAGTCATCTCTTTTAACAGGCTGGATTTTGGTGTTAGAAGTGTTCTGGTTCCGCTGTAATTTAATCCTGTAACCCATCAACATTCATTAGGCTTTAATTATTATCTCTAATCGGATATCTGCAGGCAAGTTCAACTGAAAGGATACCCCCAACACACTTCTCAAGCTGCTGGTAGGACTGTAAACAAAGGCATTGCACAGAAGAGGAGGTCTGGAAGTCTTTTATTGTTTCATGCTGGCTACACCTGAAGTCCAAAAAGCTGCCGCAGTCACAGAGGCTATAATGTCTTAAGATAATAGCCGATGGGTTTCATGGTATGTTTGACTTTAATTTACCATCAAGTCTGTTTGAAACTCCATTTAGAGTTGGCAGAAATTCCCTTTGAGTGCCTGTATTTGTTGAGCATGTCTATTTTTCTCAGTGCAACTACCATTCTTTGTCACAAAATATCCACCTTCTGGTCCAATAATTATATGCTGTACCTCTGCAGTATTGTGCTATATAAATGTAGCATGACGTGCATCAGCCCCACCTGAACCACAACATTAATTGCTATATCAAATTTAATTGACCACAGTGGATCTGTAATCAAACTGAATCAAATTGGATAATTTCAGTGATACCAAGCGCAGATTGGTTTAACATCCAACATTGAGCTATACAGCTACTGTATACATTCTGCAGCATATTACACAAATTACCAGTTTTGTTTTTATTTTCTGCATGTGAGTGCGCTTTCGTCACCGGTAATCCTCTTCCCCCAATTCATAACATTTGCATTTGCGTGCTACATTCACTCCCTCGTCTCATTACAACACAATTAACAAGCAATTAGAGTTTATTGAGGGTGAATTAGCTGACATGTAGAACAGACCTAATGTGCTGGGAGTGTAAAGGGATATTACCCAACACCAGCGAGGGGATGGAGGAGGAGGAGGAGGAGGAGGATGACGATGACGACAAAGGACAGGAGATTGACTGGTAGGAAGAAAGTGAAGAAAATCACAGGGTTTGTATCCTGAAAGGGAAGGTAGCGAATGACAGAGTGAAAGTGCAAAGAGGTTCCTGAAGAGGTTGAGTCAGGTAAGGAGGAGGGTGGATGACAGAGTAAATGTCACAGGGAGGCTGCGTTATACTCTCACATCCTTGGGGAACAACGCAATATGTACTGAGTCAGTATGTCTTTGCCAGGAAGTCTGTGAGGTCACGTTTTTTGTATTTTTTTATGTTTATCTGCACCGGTCAGGTAGTAAGGTTGCACAATTCTGAAAAAAAAAAAGCCCAATAAGAACATTCATATTGCACATATTCCTGTCAGTTTCACCTGCGTCAGTCATTTCCAATAAACAGAAATTCAAATTCTAGTCGACTAATCCGGATGTCACAATTTAGTCCAAGTTATCCTAATTTAAAACCATATTGTGTGTAGCCTTTTTGATTGCTATTTGAAACTGCTCACATTCTTCAATAACAAAAAATGATGATTTTTATAAATGCAGCTGAAACGTCTGACACCAGGCGACATGCATTACTCTGAACAAGTCAAGTTAGTTTGTAGATATTGGGCAATATCAGCATTTCTAGCCAAAAACAGATGATGCTACCCAGATAACAAACATGAGACTTCAAAAGGGAAGTCAACAATAAAAGGTAGTCAACAGCAATCCTTCAGCAGACCTTCATCGTTGGATTTAAGCCGTGTGAAATGAAGCTCTGGCAAAAGTTCAGTCAGGACGACTATATTCTGCTAGTTTAGTATTCATTGTTTATACTGTGTTGTCTTCACTGCTCCGCACAGGCTCACTCATATTTTCCTGGTGTTTATCAGCTGTTTTCATCACCTGGGTCCTCATGTATAAATGGTGTGACGTATAAAATCTATGTGCCGTGAGAATGTGCCGACCCTGTCGTAAACTGTAGACCAGCCGTGAAAATGTGCAGGATCCACTGCCCTCTTTGACTCCCTCGTCACTTTCCCTAGCCCCCTAGTTCAATCATGCAATCGTTGCGTGCAACCCTCAACCTCCCCATCATCGCCCGGTCTTCACAGACAGCTCATCAGCCGTAGAGGAAATGATCGGCCAACACCTCCACCAACAGCTTCTAGACTCTTGAGTGGGGGGAAGGTTTTGCCGCCCCGCTAAAGGCAGACACCCTTCAAACTCCCTGTCGACTTTTAACTCCAAAGACTCTCGTACAATTATCATTGATTATTCACAGAATCTTTGTGAAGTAAATGTTTTATCTTCAATTCATTTGCACATCTCTCCTGACTGAAGTGGTGCAATTTGCTTTTTTTTAAGGGAAGTGTGAATATTTTGATTTCTAATGAGGAGTGATCATGGTAAGCTTAAAAAATACAGAAAATCAACAAACAGTTACTATTTCTATTTCTCTGAACCTTATCCTTAATGTAGATGTTTTATTTCTGTCTGCTTCACCGTCTCCACCTGGATCTCTCCTTTACAACTCTCGTCATCCCTTTTTACCTGCATTTCAAAGCCACCTCTCTCTCCACGTCCATCCCCTTTGATCTTCTTCTGTTTATCTTTATCTCTACCTCTTCACTGTATTTTTATCCACTCAGTCTGCACCCTTTGCTCAGACGCTCGTCCTCTACTGTCAAGCAAGCAATTTCCTCCTGAGCATTTATCCATCTCTTCACAATTAAACTTTGATGCCGATTTGTTGGAATAAATAGGAGGGGGGTAAATTATTTATGGTTGGATTTTTAAAAAAAACATTGAATCGACCACACACACACATACCACTGGAAACACCCATGCAGAGATCAATAATAAATCACATGGCAGTAAGAGGGAGGAAGGAGTGTTGAGCGAGGCATTTATAGTGCACTGGGATAGTAAATATGAAATATGGACACGCATACAAACCGACACTCACATATACATTTATTCTATTTGCCGTTCTATTCTTGCTGAAGATTTATAGAGCCGACATCCTCAAAGAAGCCTCCATTTTTTTAATAAAAGGAGGAACGAGGACAGACGGCTCATGTCTGAGGGAGAGGCCTTCTGTTTGTTGAACACAAAGGCAGTCTGCTTTAGCTTTAATCTGCCGATGAGAAAGGGATACACACTCTACTATCTTCCTCTGTCCTCCATTTTCTTCCCCCTGCATAAAACACTCTTGGATGCAGCTTCAGTGCCTTGAAGCCCTGATTCCCTGTTCTACATAATTCAATTATCAGTAACTATTCATGATTCACTTCAACAGAGAGAAACACAGAGGGAAGAAAAAGGCAGAAAAAAAAAGGCCTGGTTGTCTGTTGTCTGACTACTACCTCATTTTTCAGGAGAGGCTTCATTGAAGCAGCTGCATCTGGAGCCTGTGGAGCTAATTCAGACACGCTGCTGATGGAGGCTTTCGCACAGATGTGATGTAAGACCGACTCAGAAAATGGAGAGCAACAGCAGATCGGTCTATCATGGTTCTGGATGACCCTCTTTAAACTGTTACACAGAAAAGGGCTTTTCATTGCATACTTTATTGCGCCATTCAAAAGCTCTTGGGTGACATTAAGTCAGAGGCAGCGGTTCCCCCCCCACCCCCACCCCCCTCCCCCTCTGCCACCCTCTTTTCCTCACTTCAACTCCCCTCTCTCTGACTTTCTCTGTATCCTCTGGGGCTCCGAGTGTTTTTAAAATCAAATTCTTGCCCACATATTCTCATCGTGATTGCTCTTGTATGCAATTTTCGCTCGGCCTCTAGCTGTCTCTCTCTCTCTCTCTCTCTCCCCCTCTCTCTCTCTGGGGCTGGGTCACCTTGAAAGTCTCTCTCACCCTCTCTGATCATTCACTTTGCTGACGAGTGATTGTGCTTCTCACAGTTTTCCGTTGGCAATGCGGACAGATAGAGAGAGAGAAGAAGAAAAAAAAACATCCTCTGAGACATGCAGTTTTTCTGAAGCACATGCACATCGCAGGTTTTGACTGGACACATACTGTAATATACCTGTGGACAGATTGTGAGAAGGTAGAGCCGTGAACAAGACTCCCTCCTACCTAACATCAACCCTCAACACCCCTTATCTGGTGAGGCATGCTGTAAACATACTCTTCTGATAGAGGTGCTATGAAGGCTTCCTTGTTGTTTCCTCTTGAAAGTGAAAGCTACGTCTTTGCTTCTTCAGGCATACTTTTGACACAGTCGTTGATTATGAAATGAGTTCTCTATCCACTAAATGTTTCTTAGGATAGCTAGACAAGACAATTGATACCTTATGTGTGTCAACAAAAAAAAATACAGACAGAAGCTACGAAGCTTTGCAGAGTGACTGAAAATAGAAACCGAAAACCAGCATTATGAAATCTGTGAGTTTGATGCTCCAGTTTTTTCAACAAATCTTAGTTAAAGCAACCAAATAGTTATGGATTGTTATATTAGGACTATGTTAAGTAAACTCAAGGCATTCTGACTAATTGGGGCCGTGGCGGGGATGGTGTTACTGCAGCATTTTGTGTTTGTGACTCTAACAGGCATTGTTGCAATGCTGTTGGCAGAGAGAGTGTGTGTGTGGTAACAGCACTGACCGTTTGCTTTATGTCTGGGATGCCAATGCGAAAAACCATCATGGCAATGTGGGTGTCCTCAGATGGCACAGAGCTGGAGCTGCGCTCCTTCAGCCTCCTCTGCTGCTGCTGCTGCTGAATGTGATTGGCTGGCTGTTGGTGCGTGGGTCCCGGGTTGGAAGAATAGGGGTTTGCTGTGTGTCCGGGGTTCCCGGGCCTGATCTGTCTGTCCCCAGGCGGGCGTCCGGCCGGTTTACCTGACTGCCTGTGTCCTTCACCCCTGCCCCCTCGCGATAGACCTCCCCGCCTGACCTCCTCCACCATCTCCTCCTCCTCCTCCTCCTCCTCTTCGCCCTCCAACTCGCCATTCTCCCCTTCCTCCTGGTCCTCGTCGCGCTCATCCTCTTCCATTTCCTCCTCCTCCTCTTCCTCCTCCTCTTCCTCGTCCTCTGCACCTGGATAGAGATGTCGATTGTTTCCCAGCATCCTTTGTTGTTCCTCGTCGCTCGACAGGGGGCTGAACGGCATCGTCATGGCGACAGGGAGGGCGGCAGCTGTGGCAACACCATCATTCCCAGAGAGACACTGCAGTGGAGGGAGGGAAGAGGAGAGACAGTGAAGAAGTTTTTAAGCAGTTTTCACTAACAGTATCAGGGCCTCCATATCACATCACTCCAACAAACTCTGGTCTCTATGGTAACAGACAGCTCACAGACATGCAGTGCTTCTAGCCCTAACCGCATGATGACATACCATTCACACCTTGTGTATAAATGAAGCCACTTGTGCTGTAAGTATTCAGCTCTCAGGCTCTCTCCTGTCTGTGCTGTTAACCACCTGCAGATGATTTATGCAACAGTGACTGACGCCTGTGATGACCAACATTTGACTCTGACTGATAGTACTACAGTTGGAAATATTGTACTTTATAGGAATATGTTCTAAATCAGTGGTTCACAACTGGTGGGTCGGGACCCAGAGGTGGGTCAAGACACTTAAAACATTGAGTATCCCTTTTCACTTTGGCTTGGTTACGTCACACAAAGTGAGAGATTCTCTTTAGAATTGAATGAATAAATTAATTAATTAACCATAAATTAAAATAAGATGATAAAAAAACACACAAAACAAATGTAACAGTGACTGAAGAGGAGTAAGTAGAAGTAAAACTTGTAAATATCTACACCTTTCTCACTTCTCTTCTATTAGTTCATATATTATTTGTTGGCGTTCTAGGGCTTGTAAAGACAGTTTGTTTCAAATCAGTTGCATGGCAGTAACTTAATCAAATCCTTTAAAAATGGCCAATTGGTGTGGAGCAACATTTTTTTAAAGCATTTAGGCCCTTTTAATCTACACTAAGCTGTCACCAAAGTGACCGCTTGCGGATTTCAACATCTTGTTTTAGCAAAGCACAGAATTAAAGCTCTTCAATTTTGTCACCATTGTCACCACAGGTAAACCACCGATATGAATATCATAACTTTTCTTCAAGCATTTTCAACCAGACTAGACTGCACACTGTAAAACCCTCTCGCACAGACGCTGCTGGAGCTGCTATTCAATCAATACTAAATAAAAAAGAGTGCAGTTTCTTGCTGCATTATGAACTTAAATGGCATTTCTTTTTATCCAATCCGTTGAAGCGTCTTGAAAAAGCCAGCACTATCCTCAATAATCTAAAACATCAGCAGGTGAGTCATCTCTGCCCATCAGCCATATGGACACTCGAAATGCACAACAGCTCTTCATATGATCAAACATACACTCTTCTGCTCATGAGAGAAGCCTCTTCAGAGCATCAGCGATGCAACGCTGCATTCATGTACAAGCTGAGCAAGATAACAGATCTGTCCCTGGTGGCTCTTCGTCGGCAGTGCACACTGTTTCAGGGTTTTCAGCACCACTACATTCTGGACAGCTCCACACAGATCCAAACCGCAGGATGACAAACTGTGACAGACACAACACTCAAATTCCCATAAAGGACCAATGAACAGGAGAGCTGATGTAACACTAATGAAACTACTGATCTGACACAGTGAGGTTAAGGTAAATTACACTTGTAGTTAGTTTCCCTGCAGATTGAGTTATGACAAACACGATGCTAGCAGTGAATGGAGCAGTGATTTGAAGAGACTGAGCAAAACGGAATTTCAAATTACATTGTCTGATCTCTGGGAATAAAATTTACAAAAAGTATCATTTTTCTTTTACTTTGAAAAAATATCAAGTACAGAATAATGATAACGCAAGTTTAGATAGTAAAATGGAGTACAGGGAAAACAGTGTCAGACATGAAAAGTGTTAAGACTTCCCTCATGGGACTCTGAGATTACACCACCAGCTGTCAACAAGAAACATGAAGGGGGAAAATGTGCCATAACAAATGAGAAAGAAACAGGAGCGTAGAACAAGAGAGCCAGCCATGGGGCGGAAATGATGCCTTTCATTGTGTCGATTTGGGGCTGTTATTATGTTATTTAATCTATCACTTCTTGGAAAACAAAAAGATTTTTAAAAAAAATGTAATCACCTCTAATACTACTATCACTAAGAATTTTCCACATTTAATTTATTTGATGCCAATAAAGCAATCTGCTACCACTCTGTGCTATTAGGAGGCAACAACAGAAAAGAAAAAAATAAATGACATGAACTAACAAAACCAGAACGAACCACCACAATGTGAAGCTAAACTGCTTGTTAAACTTTCTTCTGTTTAGAGAATTGCTATTGTTCTTGTATCAGTCTCCATTTGTCCTCACTTCACACACAAGCAAGTAAACAAAGCACAGGACTGTTTGCAACAAACAAACAAACACTGTCTCTCTGGCAGCATCTCAGCCTCCAACTTTTGAAGGCTTATTAGGAGACAAACTTCTGTTCACAGCAGAGACACATAGTGTGCAGCAAACTGAAAGAGTTTAACAGATCGAACATCCAGATTGTCCCCAGCTGACAAAGACATGAACGTCAGAGAGAACAAACCTTAGAGTCTTGACAACCAAGAACCAATGTAGAATGATTTATTATGTAAACTTTCTAGCAGGCCTGCCCACAGAGATGGCTGGGCCCACCGTAGATGTCATTTAATAATATCAATGCATGTTGGATCAGCAGCAATGGCGCTAGCCTCCGGGCCAACATTGATCTCTTGGCTTGGCTCCAAAGAAAGTTTGTTGGGGTCAATTGCCTTAGGCCCCGTGTCCACCTCGCGTTTTTTTTTTTTTTCTGAGCGCCAGCTTCTTTTTCAAAATTTTCAATGAGGAGAGAGAGCGTTCGCAGCAGAAAGCAGACGCCTAATGACAAAGAGCATTGCCCAGCATCTTTTTTTCCGAGCACTCCGCCTTTTTTTTTGAGCGGCCGCTCCGAGCGCTCTGGATGAAAATCTATCAACTTTTCAGAAAGGCGCTGCTGATGTCACCGACCCTCTTCTCCAAATGTGTAATACTCTCTTTAGATTTGCCGGGGAATTGATCGTGGAATCAACTAAAATGTAAAACATACAGTAAAAAGTAACAGAGCCGTGTAGGTAATACAAGCGGCCGTTGTCAGCAGACTGTTGTCATAGAGACAGGACGGATGTGCAGCGCTTTTCTTCTCAGTGCACAAACGCTGTGCTAGCGCTCCCTGTCAGGTGGACACGGGGCCTTAGCCTCCTTTCTTTTCTGTTGTTGTCTTTTCATGACAGACTTATTTCAATTTCTTGTAAAAGTTTGGAAAAGGTTTAATGTTAGTGTGAAAAAAATCCCCCTTAAAACAAATGATATTAACATTTCAAAATGACAGAAAAAAGACAAAAATTAACGTGAACTCGTGAGACTAAACAGAAGAAGGCAGGGGAGGAGAAAGGGGCTGGGAACCTAATTGTTAGAAGGATGTGATGAATAAAATAGACAAGGGCACACAAACAAAGGAGGAGAGAGAGTTGCAACGTTCTTACAGTCTTGTCAGAAAGCGTGACCAGCCGGGGATAGGAACCTACAGAAGATTTGATTATAAATGGATGTGAGCTATCGGTATTTTAGCATAATGCTGAGTAATCAGAGATAGGGGAAGCTGGAGAGAAGGGGAGGACAAAAAGGGAGGAAGCAGTGAGGTAAGAGGGGAGTGATTAGAGAGAGAGAGGAGGGAAAAGGTGCCCGAGAGACGAGAAAATGACAGCCGTGGATGAAGGCGGGAGAGCAGAAAGTGAGATAAAAGAAACAGAAGAGATTGCGATGGAGCGGGGGGGGGGGAACAAAAGAGTGAAGGAGAACAGCGAGGGAAGGAGTTGAATATGAGAGGTGGATGTGAGATCCGAGGCGTGAATTCACAGGGCTGGATGGAGGAAAGGAGCAGAAGGAAAGGAAGGATGAAGGCTGGGTCAAACCATGAAACCACTGCCAATATTTTTTGGTTGAAGCAGCCAAAAGCCAGAGCTAGTTTTGATGTTCTTGTATGTTTGGATTTGGCTTTTCTCTCCATATTTGTATGCAAAAAAAAAAAATAGATAAAAGCCCTCATTTGATGAATCTTATTTTTGGGATGCTTTAAAATAGAATGTAGACAGGGTTGGGAACTGATACTCCTAAAAAGGTAGTTTATGGTAAATAGACTTGAGCTTGTAAAGTGCTTTTCTGGTCTTCTGATCACTCAAAGTGCTTTTTACACCGCAGGTCTCAATCACACTTAAACCACACACTGATTTCAGAGGCTGGTATGTAAAGTGCTCAAACAGTATTATGTATTCCCATTCAAACACATTCCCACGCTGCTGATGCAGCAGCAGGAGCAATTTGGGGTTAAGTGTCTTGCACAAAGAACCTTCAACATGCTGAAACCCCCAACCTTCCAGTTGCAAGACAACCGACTCTACCACTGAGCCACAGCTAACCAGTAATGAGGGCAGAATTAACACATTTCTTCACTGCAATTTAGTCTCAGCGTCCCCTCTTATCACGCTTCATCTCCTCATCTTCTTCATCTTTCATCTTCTAACTTCTTTGAACCTCTGACCGACATTATACCACTGTCTTCTTCTTCGTCTTTTACTCGCTGTCGACTTCTTCAATGGCCTATGAACTCCCCTTCCTGGTACACACTCATTCATATCATAAGCACCACCGTAAGGAATCATTACATTGTGAAGGTTTGAGTCATTTTGGCAGAGAAATCCGATCAGAGTGCTGTGGTTTTTTTTTAAATTAAAATATCGATATTTAGCTCCAATGATTCTGTGTTTCATATGAGTCAGGACGATGATACATTGCTGGATCCAAATATTTCCCCACTTTATGTCATTGTAAAATATAGCGTGAGGATGTCTTTAAAGCAGACAC